AGAATGTAGAGAAAATCCTGCTACTGTGAATTTTGTCTTCTGATTTGAATATGGAAGTAACTTAGTTGTACAAGCTTCTTAAGTAGAATGGAGTTTTATGTAGTGTCCAGCTAGTAACTTTCTTTATGTTGCTGTTTTAACATTTTTTGGGGATGGGTGGGATTTCTTAAACAAATAGTGTACTAATTTGTGTTAACTGCCAACTTGACCTAGCCAAGAATCACCTAGGAAAAGCATCTTAATGAAAAATTATCTAGAGCAGGTTAGCTTTGGGGAAAGTTTGTAAGGAACTGTCTTAATTGTTAATATAGATGAAAAGACACAGAACACTCTTGTGGGAAGTACCATTCCATAATGGGAAATGGCTAGCTGAAAGTTCACAAGCAAGGATCCATGTTTGTTTACTCTTTGGGGGCTGTTGACTGTGGATGTGAGATTTTACGTTCCAAACCTTGACTTCTCTGCAGCAATTAATTGTAACCAAAAATTGTAAGCCAAATAAAGTCTTCCTTTCTCATATTACTTTTTAGCTTTGTGGTTTTCCTTTATTTTTAAGAGATGGACTCTCTCTATTATGTAGCCTAGCTGTCTAGATGTCCTGGAATTCGCTATGTAGGGCATACTATCCTTCAACTCTCAGAGATCTACCTGCTTCTGCCTAGGACTGCACATGCTACAAAGCTCATCTTCCCATATTGCCTTTTGTCATATGTTATCATAGCAACAAAACAGAAACTAGGACAAATAGCATGATTATCTGAAGCACCATCATTATCCATACTACATGGTAGTAATCAGAGCGACTGTATTTCAAAGGCTTGTCCACTATAGATCAATGAGATACAGTGTTAAACTGGTGCATTTTCTGGATTAAAAAGCGAAAAGCCTGTTAGAATTTCTAAAGCTACATTGACATTATTAGGCAAAATAAAAACACCAAACTCCAGTCTTCAAGGTCACAATTCAGGGTTCTTTAAAAACTACACAAAATACAGCTGCTTCTATACTCTTCATTTCTTCCACCTTAAAATATTCTAGAAATTCACATTCTAATACATTTCCAAATAAAATTTAGATAGTGCCAACAATTCTAAACCATCTTTGACTTCATCCTTGATCTAGTTTTTAAGTTTCTAATTAACATTTTTAATGTCCAAATAGAAATGCTTCTCAATGTCTCTGACAGATCTTATGTTTGTTTTCATTAATATGAAGGCATGTTTCATCTTTCCTGGATCACTACAGTGAAGTATTACAGTTGTGCAGTTCCTAATCTGGAAGCCTTGGCTTGCTCAGATAAAACTTTGTTATGTATTTTGTAAGGCATAGATTCTATATTGCAATGTTCTATGCAAAAGAAAAAATTAACAAAATTGTAAATTTTATTGTTTTAACATGTATGCATGTTTAGTGACACATTGAAATAAAATTTATAATCCATTATTTTTAAATAAAAGAAATTCTACAAATATCTTCTCTACTCTTGAGAAGCATTTACTCCCTCCTTGCACATGACAAATTTTAGAAAGCTGGTGGCGCATGTTCTTTGTCAATGGTTTATGTGAGAGGAATGCAATATAACACAACTGCAAGCTGGAGGCAAACAAGACCCACAGAAAGCTCCTGGCTTCCAGGTCTAAGATCAAGTACCACAAGGAGTGACACAAAGGAAATCAAGATTGTCCAAAGAGGAAGCCAGCAAGAAATCAAGTTCCTCGCTCCTGTCTATACATAGTAATCTTGGTCACATATTATATAGATCAGTTATTAAAAATAGATTAATAACAGAGGCATTTAATATCTGCTAACAATTTTTTCTCGACAAGTTTTATTCTCTGAAAACATTGTTTAACACATGCTTTATTCTCATAGTGTTCAATATACTGTGCAGTTGGCAATTTTTTTCTTTTCTATGTTGATGTTTAATATGAGTGAAAATAAAAAAAAAAAATCTTGACAAGTGCAACATCCACATAAAACATCCCTCCCATCTATATAATACAGGACCTTATTTTTAATAGAATTAAACTCAACTCGCAGTATATTTATTGCCCTTTTGAAGTAGATTGCTTTTTCTAATATGATTATAGATTAATGTTCAGTATTGTTAACAGCAACATTATGGCATGCTTATGAGATGAAATTGTGACTTTTCTTTTGCCATGAGGCATACATCGAATTCTATCGTATATCCTTTAATGCCTTTTTTGAGAAGTGATTTCCATTATTTATTCATGTTGAATTCTTGCAATTGAGTTAGGTTCCTTTTGTATTTCGGATATCAATCCTACATGTCAAGTGTGGAATTTGCAGATATTTCCTCCCAATTCATTGATATGTCCTCACTCTCTTTCCTTGACTTTCAAATGTGTCTTAGTTTAACATCAAATCTTGTCTGTCTTTTTTTTATTTCTTCTACTTCCTTTTATATGTATGTAAAACGTAGCAAAATTTTGACTTTTAACCTAAAATTTTATAGAAATATTTTAATGGTTTGGGTTTTGGCTATTAGTTAACTTCTAAATGGTTGGCTGTCTTTCTTCTAATCCTGATATTAATTTATTTTAATGCACTGTTAGATAATAACTGTGTATAATCTCTCTGATTGTAAACAAGGTTTCAAAGTTCTTTATTTTGTGCTGGTTGGATTTTTCAATCTGACAAAAACCTGGGTATATCTAGGAGTAAGAAAACTCCCCCCTCCCCCCTCATGTTGACCTATAGACAAGTCTGTAGGGAGTTTTCCTGGTAAATACTTGAGATGGGGCCATCTCACTATAGTTATTGCCAATCCAGGGGAAGTGGTCTAGGGTTGTAAGGCAGGATGAGCAAGTACGGAAAACACTCCAGGAAACAGTATTCCTCTATGGTCTCTTATAGTAAATATTTAATCTCAAACAGGGTTTTCTACCCTGCATTTAATCATTTTGTTCCAAAATGAAAGACACAGACTTTTATATTTATAATAAGCCTCAAAGCATTACAGCTGGGCAGATACATACTTTTTATGCAATTATGTTTTCTTATCCAAAAATAACCTCAAGTTATAACTTGCCATATTCCATCTGGGCTGCACTTACCTCCAATTGGCCAGCCCACAATGGCCATATTTTCATGACACACTGATCCCATGGCCTCTTCTCCTCTCCCCCTCCTCTTCTTTCCACTTGTGGTCCTCCTAAGACCCCAAGTCCAGAAACTAAAATTCCATCTACCTCTCTACTGTCCAGCTATAGTCTATAAGAGCAAGATCACGTAGCCATTACTTGATGTCTGCAAGGATTCTCTCATCTCTGAGACAACCAGGCCCAGTATTTAGTATTATAATACATAGCAACAGACCAAACCTCAACAGTCTCTGCTTCATTTCCTGCCTTGAGTTGCTACCTTGGCTTCCCCTGATGAAGAACTATAGTCTGTAAGCCAAACATTTCCTCCTCTAATCGCTTTTTTATAGCATTTTATCACAACAATAGAAACCTAACTAAGACACCATCTTCCAATACATTACCTAATTTTAAGAAGAAAAACTTTCCAACCTCTTATTGAATAATGTGTCTTCAAGCAATTCTCAACAAACTTTTATACATTCATCCACAATTTTAACACTTTAATTTATTCATAGATTCTCCTTGTGCTCAGACCTTTACCCCAGTGGCTTCTACTTTGTGTGTCAGCAAAATGTCCCAGTTATATGGGTAGATACGTAGTTCAGGACTAGCAAACCAGAGCTTAGTGATAATCTATGGTCAGTACACAAGAGATTCTGGTGAATTTCTGAGTGAGTTATTTTAAAAGGCTATTTTTTTCTCACCTGAAATTTAATAAATCTAATCTGTCCAAATCTACCACAAGAAGCATGAAAATGAAACCAATCCCCCCAAAAGGTGAAGTAGATCCATGGAAGAAAAATAGCTATCAAAATTATAGTTTAAGCCTGAAGCTGGCTTTCTTCCCAAATATATCAGAAATACACCTTAACCCCCCCCCCCACTTCTCAGGCCAATTTGATTGGCTGATTAGTCACATAAATGCATCAATTCTGCCTGTTTTCCTGTTATGTTATGTGTTTTGTACCCTGTATTAGTTATTTCTATGCTGCCATAATAATATATCAAAACCAGAAATACCTTATAGAGAGTATATGTGGGCTTATGGTTCCAGAAGGATTAGGATACTAAGGAAAGCTTGTCAGCAGGTGGCCAGTCCAGGAAACTGAGTAGTTCTGGAATGTTTCATGTTTCATTGTGGCTAAGCTTAGTTTATAGAATAAGGCAGCATGAGAAACTTATGAATAACTAAAGTACCTCTCTTTCCCCCTAAGTCTTCGTTAGGCTATAGGACTAGTGCACTTTTGGAAGGAGCACAAGGAACACAAATTAGTCAATGCAGAATGAGTCAGCTGTAGAGCTTTTGGGTGTATAGCTGAAGGACTCTGTATCAGCACATGACAGAGACACTTGTACTTCCATGTTTATTGCAACATTATTCACAACAGTCAATCTTATAATTGGATTACTTGATCATCAACTGATAGCTAGAACAAGGAAATTTCCAATATGCACAACATATTTTTACTCAGCCAAAACAAAACAAAACAAAACAAAACAAAACAAAAAACATTAGGCTGTTTGAATAAAAACAAACACAATTCAAGACCATCATATTAACTGAAAGAGGCAAACTCATTTAAAAAAAGTAAATAAGTTTCTTTTTCCTTTATGGATCCTATATTTTACAAAGATACATTAAAATCACTTAAATATATACTAGATGGATATATGGTAGGAAATTTAAAAGGAGACTAGCGGGAAAATAGGAGAGAGTGGACAGAAATGGAATAGAGATGAGTTGGTTTGTCACAGGACGTGATCTCCTTTAAAAATTTGTTATTCTGAAACTCAACAGCACTATGAAATATGAACACCTGCCAAGCATAAAAGGCACAAATAGATCCACACATAAATTTCACTTTCAAAAAAATTTAAAAAAGATTTTACCTTTTCTCAAACTGGTGAGGAACTTTAGGTAATATTATTTTTTCATGCATGAATATTTGAGGATATTGCTTGATGAATGTATTGTGAGCTGCCAAATGAAGGGAAGAATCCTGGCTAGAACAAGACAGGGAGAATAGAGGTAAGAATCACACATAATTTTTTACAGGTTTTAATTTAGTATATTAATTTTGTATTAATTTATGCAAAGCTTTTTATTTCTGGAATTGAATAAAGCTGTTGTTTAATTCAGCATAGTAAAATTTCTCCAAAATGATTCCCAAATCTTTTGTGTATACATACATATATACATACATGTATATATACATATACACATACATATGTATTGTATACAGTCTTCTGACTATTTGCAATTACTGATGAAAACTTCATTCTCTGTGTTTTAGGTCTATAGTAACGAACTGTTATATATATGAAAAACCTCAACATGTCCCACTCTGGATAGTCACTGGAACTGTCTAGGATAGTTAGGATGAGGGGAGAATTAGTTCATTTACTGATAAATCACAAATTCCTATGGTAGAAAAAGGAAAACTTGTGTGCTTTCAATGCACTCGCCTGAGTGAATTCTTCCACTGTAAACATACCAGTAAATGAGATACATGGAAATAGGACAAATGTTATGAAATGTTGGGCAATAACCTTGTGGGCATTTGAAATGTTGTCTAATGGGATTTCAACTGACAACCACCATAAAATGCTGTCATTATCTGAAAGGTCAAATATCCATCTTGACAGCTTATTTCAGTAATGAGTAAAATGAACATCTTTCAGATTGAACATTGACAAACATCTTGGTCAATATTTGCTTTGTGTCAATGAATATAAAAATTCTCAATAAAAGTCTTTTTCTTCTGTTTCTGTCAATGCAAACAGTGACACATTAAAATATCTGTAGCAATTTATTCTTTCTATGCTATTTTCCAAAACATTGTATTAATTATTTGACAAAAAATAAATTACATGTATCTTTAAAATCTGATTTTATTTACCTTGATTCAAACAGCCAGATGAGAGTGCAATTTAATGCATTGTATATTTTCATTATTTTCTCACAACATGACAAATACTGATCAAGTATCTACCCAGTTTTAAAGTTTGTTCATGCATTTTCATGGAGTATTTCCAAAGATCTCACATATGAAATCTCACATTTAATAATCATCTATTTTACGTATCTACCTAAATTCTTTACTTGTTCTATTATATATTATAGTAAGGATTCATTGCACAATTGTATAATCCAATGATATTGATATATATCTATTTATACATAAAGTACTTTTACTTTAATAATTAGCCACATCATATAACTATAATGTGAGGGATATATGATAGAAATTAAAATTGAACTAACTTGAAAGCCTAATCTCTTAACCTCTGAGAGATAGTGTGCCAACTAAAAACATCAGTTTTTTCTTATTATGTCAGGCATTATCTTAATCAATTTAGATACAGTATAGCATTTAATTCCTGCCTATCTATATGAATTACATACTCTTATTCTCATTTTATACATGAAAAATTTGAAATTCAAAGAACTGTAGAAGCATTTATTTTTGTCTACATGCAGGTTGTGTTATAGATCTTAGAAATGTATTCTAAACTGTGATCTGGATAGATCATCTTTGGAGTAGATTAAAATGACTTCAGCCCTAAATATGAAGACCTAATTTACTTTTATCCATTAGCTTGTACAAGTGTGACATCTACTTCATCTACTTCTTGGGAATTCCCAACATAAACCGAATGGTATACACATTTGAAAATGTGTCCAAGAAGTGAAATAGATAATCAAGTGCTATGCCTAGAGATGATGTAATTCTCAGAGCAAATCTTCAAGTGTCCTTATGAGACTGTTGATATGTGTTCTACATCACAAAAATGATTGTGGTAGTATATTTCTGTTTCTGTGTCCCCTATATTCAGGGACCATAAAATTGAATAATGAAAGTACACAAGACGGTATAATAAGGTAGGAAACAGGGAAGCTTAAGCAAGTATGCCCACAAAAAGGGATCCATAACCAGCTATTAAAGGAATACTTTTAGAAGTAAAAATATTACAAGCTCCATGTAGGCAAATCCTGTCATTGTTTTTTATAAAATCTGTAAATCTAACATTCATTTTAAATTCTTAGATTTTTTAAAATGTTGATAACGGCCATGACAGATTTTATTCCCCTCTAAAATCATATCATATACTGAAGCCTTAAACCTCCAATTGCAAGTCTAACTCTGCAATAAGAAAAAAAGACACATTGTAGCAGAAATCTTTGAAATAAATATAAAAATAAGTGTTTTATAAACGGGAGTCATTATTTAGACACTCAGTGGATAAGGAAATGGTGATTACAGAGTTTTAAATAGTTTTCCCAAGTTCATGTAAAGTAAAAGAAAGCACATTATGTAGATATAGATGTCTTAATGTCTATGCTAGGATTTTTCTATTCTAAGGGAAGGTGCAACCTGACAGGGAAGGTAGAAGACCAGGTTGGATGTCGAACAGTTAGGAAATGCTGCCTAGGACACTAGGACCACATCTAAGAACAGCACAATAACACTACTATGGCTGAACTCAAGCCAAGTAAAGTATAAAGAAGAGGGAAGAAAGATATGTACTTGTATTTGATTCTTAAAAATATCTCCCATCAAAGATCCTAATTTCCTTTCTCTGTCTAGATTGAAGCCTATGAAAATAAGCCAGTCAAAAAGGAAGCTTCCAGATCTACTGAAGAAAAAAAAAAAGCTGTATTTTTCCATGACCTGGTTTCAAACTGTGTGGTTTCTTCAGCAATATAATCCTACCATCAAGTTCTAGTGGGCAGTAAGAGAAATGACAGTACCCTGCATTGTTTAAGGGAGTTTTTGAACCAACAATTTATAGTATAATAATGAAAGAACAAAGATTTGATAGGCTCCTAAAATCCCAAACTAGAAACATCCTGCCAGTCCAAAAAAAAAAAAAAAACAACCAGAAACAAACAAAGAAAAAACAAAACAACACAAAACAACAACAAAAAGCTCTTTATGCCTAAAGGAAAATGGGAAAAAAGGTTTATCAGAGTAAACTACTTGAGGTATTTTATGCACACATACTACATAAAAAAATATTTCGCACAATATTTTTCTGTATCTCATAGTCTCTTCAAGCTCTCAATAAAATTACCTGAATAAATATTTATGAATCTTCATAATGGGTATTAACATCAAAATACAAAATAAGTTGATGAAAAATGCTATGTAATGATGCTAATACATTTAACATTAAGTAAGTTTTTTATCTAAATAAAGAGAACATTGAATCAGAAATCTCCCCAGATACTACGTTATAGCACAACTCTAGTCAATCTTTTCTACACTTCTCTTAAAACTATTTTATAAACATAATTATCTTGCTATGAAATCATTTGATCACCTTCCTCACTTATGAACACAATTTGTTAACCAATAAGTTTATGATTGAACATGATTGTAAACATAGATGTATATTAACAGTTATATACCAAGAGATGTTTGACCAGTAAACCATAAAGCTTAATTCTTTGCTTTCCGTTTTTAAGATACTCCTAAGGAAAGTTATAAAGATGTGTCTGAAATATGATTTTAAGAAGTACATTAAAAAAGAGATAGGAAAAATTTGTAAACCCAAGGCATTTTATTAACATAATCATGATTGAAGAAAGGATACAGAGTACATGGACAGTGGTAGCTATGTTACTATAATTTCAAAAGCACAACTAAAATAAAAATAATACAGCTGTGGTGGATTGAATGAGAATTATCATCATAGGTTCATATGTGTAAATAACTGTTCCTCAGTTGATGAACTGGTTGGGAACAAATATGATTGGCTTTGCTAGAGTAGGTGTGACATTGTTAGAGAAGGTGTGTCACTAGGCATGGTCTTTGAGGTTTAAAAAACCCAACTAATCAAAAAAGATAAGGAAGGACACTTCATACTCATCAAAGGAAAAATCTACCAAGGTGAACTCTCAATTCTGAACATCTATGCTCCAAATGCAAGGGCACCTACATACATAAAATAAACTTTACTAAAGCTCAAAACACACATTACACCTCACACAATAATAGTGGGGGATTTCAACACCCCACTCTCAGCAATGGACAGATCATGGAAACAGAAACTAAACCGAGACACTTTGACATTAACAGAAGTTATGAACCAAATGGACTTAACAGACATCTATAGAACATCTCATCCTAAAACAAAAGAATATACCTTTTTCTCAGCACCCCATGGTACCTTCTCCAAAACAGACCATATAATTGGTCACAAAACAGGCCTCTACAGATACAAAAAGATTGAAATAATCCCTTGCATCTTATCAGATCACCACGGAATAAGACTGGTCTTTAATAATGACAAAACCAATGGAAAACCCACGTGTACATGGAAACTGAACAACTCTCTACTCAATGATGACTTGGTCAAGGAAAAATAAAGAAAGAAATTAAAGACTTTTTAGAATTCAATGAAAATGAGGACACATCATACCAAAACTTGTGGGACTCCATGAAGGCAGTGCTAAGAAGAAAACTCATAGCTCTAAGTGCATACAAAAAGAAACTGGAAAGAGCACACACTAACAACTTGAGAGCACAACTAAAAGCTCTAGAACAAAAAGAAGCAAATACACCCAGGAGGAGTAGAAGGCAGGAAAAAATCAAACTCAGGGCTGAAATCAACCAAATAGAAACAGAAAGAAAAATACAAAATATCAAAAAAACCAGGAGCTGGTTCTTTGAGAAAATCAACAAGATAGATAAACCGTTAGCCAGATTAACCAGAGGGCACAGAGACAGTATCCAAATTAATAAAATCAGGACTGAAAAGGGAGACATAACAACAGAAACTGAAGAAATTCAAAAAATCATCAGATCCTACTACAAAGGCCTATACTCAACAAAACTGGAAAACCTGGATGAAATGGACAACTTCCTAGACAGATACCAGGTACCAAACTTAAACCAGGAGCAGATAAACCATCTAAATAGTCCCATAACCCCTAAGTAAATAGCAGCAGTCATTAAAAGTCTCCCCACTAAAAAAAGCCCAGGACCAGATGGTTTTAG